TACGCAAATTTTGTTTTTTTTGCAAACTTACTGATGCATTATGGTACTTTTAAATCCATTATTGTATTTTTAAAATTACAATATTTAAGCAATAAAAATAATTAAGCATTTATTACAATAATTAATTTAAAATGCTTTATAGAAAAAAAAAAATTTTAATAATTTTTAACCGAGATATAAGGCTTAAGGCAAAACTGTTCCTTTATGCCCCGCTTTAGCCTACCCTACCTCTACTTCTACCCTATTCGTTAAACAAGTATTTATTAAAACGATAATTGAAAATATTCGTACGCTACGAAAAATTTAGTCGAATACTTTTAACAATTAATCGTCAAAGAATAACTTAAACAAATACTTTTTTACAAATATTTGTTAATCGATATTCAATAATTTGTCTTTCTCTAATACTAAACAACACCTTTGGGAACGTCTATAAATTACACAACGCTAAATTTTTTAAAAAAATCATAGTTAGAGATCATTTGCCCGTTCTTGCGGCGATTTTCATTCATGAACTTTTGAAAATATTTCTTTTTGCGCATATAACTGCCAAAGTTTTAAATCCAACTCGGTTTATATTTCCGAACTGGTAAACCCATTTAGTATTATCTTTATATCAGAAAATTGGCTTTTAAATATTGAATTCTTTTTGCCAAACAACATAGCAATGCTGTATTTTTTCATGCCGCGAAAAAAAAAAACCATATGGAAGACCATTTTAAGGGAACGCATTCATTGTTAAAAACAATTTTCTCTCCTCTTTTCAAATAACTTTTGAAGATAAAATATCCTTGCTATTAAAGGTTAATAAAAGTGTCTAAATCTAATCTTTATTGGTATTTACCTTACATCATGTAGATTACAAAGTATACGCAACAATTAAACCTTACTACGTCAATTATAAAAAACCATGAAGATGTTAGTTAATTTATTATTGCTTGAGATTTTCAGTCATATCCCAAAAATATCTGCAACTCAAAGCGTCGTAATAACAAATCACGCAATAAATTCTCTAAGCCTTTCATTAAATCAAATTAACTCACGCTTATCGATATAATCAGTCGCACTGGTCCAGCATATACCAATCAGCATAAAACTCTCTCTAACTTATCTTATACTGATCACATCACAGCACTAAAAGAGTGATCGCTACCTTTTATAAATACCAAATTTATTCCTCCTTTGGTATTTAACTTAAGCGATAACTTACCATTAGCTATGAGTATCACCATTACACATACTAAATCATCAACTGTATTAAATAGCATAACACAAAAATACAGTTATATTCCAAAATATGCATGAAATAACAAAAATTTCATTAAAATATATAATCAAAATCTATCCTTAGCTTTTAATAACTACATCTTCAGTAAAGAAAAAATTAAACAAGAGTTAATGAAAACGTGCGAACAAAATGCTGTTCAAATGGCTTTTAAACAGTGCTTTGAACAACACATAATCTGTAAGTATTCCAAATCGTGGTGGACAACAGAACTTAAAATATGAAATTAAAATCTTCCATTTAACAATAAACAATAGCATGAGTCAAAATATAATAAGACACAAGAATGCATGGAGTACAAAAGAAACATCCTAGCACGTAAAAACTTTCGTAAAGCGGTTAAAGCAGCCCAAAGCAGAAAGGTCCTTGGAAAAACTATATTTAAATATTGAAAATCTGAGAACTACAAATTCTCAGAAGTTCTGAAACAACATTAATAAATTCAAAACAAAAGCTAGTGTTCGATTATTTCAATTAACAAATCGCAAAATATATAAAGGATATCTACTGAATATGCCGCTTATAATAAATAACAACAAAAAACAAATTCCGCCTCTAAATAAACAATTTTATGAGTTATTATAACAACTGATATTATAAATAGCATCTCACTACTAAATAGTTAAAAGTCACCAGATAGCTATGGAAGTGCTGAACACCTTAAAAACTCTGATAACATCGACAATTTCATTGCTTTATCTATCCAGAACTGCAAACATATTATGTTAAGTAGTTACCTCAAATCAATTCCTTTACAAGGAGTGCGGCAAGGATTCTATTCTATTTCCTCATCTTTATAACATTTATACTAAAAGCATTCTAAATGAAATAGTTTCTAAATGCAAAGTAGGATCGACAGTAAATGGTATATATACGGGTATCATTGAATACGCAAATGATGTAATCTTGCTAATTCCTACAGTTTCTGGTCTTCAAGAACTGATTGACTGTTTTCAAACCTATGGAGTGGCTAATTTTATGAAATTAATCATTGAGAAAATAGAGTTTATAATTTCTGGAACAAGTCCTATTTTAAACAATGTATTCAAATTAATGAAACTTCAATATATATTCAAAATAAATTAAAACTAGTATTCCAATGGGATATGAAACTAATATGAACAGGATTGCAACACTTTAAAAAATCAAACTTAAGTGAGCGTATAACTCAGTTTCAATCGGTTGCAATAGCTTTAATTGACAGTGGAATTTGCTTTTGCCAGCCGTCATTAATTGTTTATCTATATAACTTATTAACAGTTCGGAAGCTTACATGTAGACTTGAGCTATGCAATGTTAGCACTAGTTCTCTTTGTAACATAGATGCTGTTGGAAGAACAGTTTCAAATATTTTTTTTTTGTATCTCAAAATATAGTAAAAATTACCTGCATTCTTTTTTTAAAATAGAGAATGTTTTAACTATTCCACATAGAAACAAATCTATTTATCAGGCTATTATAAAATCAAATTTGTTATTCATTGATATTGAAGCAGTTACTGGCAACGCGATAAACATCTTTTATAAATGAAGTGATTCCTACATGTATTACTTTTTGTTTAAACTTCTTCCAGTGTATGATAGAAGGGGAAAAAAATCAAATTTACACAATCATTCGTTGAATCGACATGAGAATGTTGCAACAGTATAACGAGAACCGTTCCAGTTATGGAACTTAAAAAAACAAAGAGTGATTTTTAAAACTTTAGTGGAGTATAATGTTCCGAAAACACTAAACCAATTAAGTGTGGACATACTATCTAATAGTTAGAACTGAAGGCTTAACTTTGAAAGCTATGTTGTTTTACTGGTCCTAATTTTATAAAGTAACTTTAATATTTTACCTATAATTTCATTTACTGGGTGTTAAAGAGAAAATATAATTATAATTATAATAATTAATCCTCCATTTTGATTCTTGTTTTAACTTAAGGTCTTGCGAGGGGAAACTTTTGATCTTTTTATTTTTATTTATTAGTAAAATTGTTGCGTAATTTATGAACGATCCCTTTGTCATATTATATTAAATTTTAAAAGAGTTTTGAAATATAGTATAAAAATGAAATCATAAAAAAAAAAAAAAAAAAAAAAAACAATTGAAAAAATAGAGTTTAAATACAAAATAAAAACAAAAAATTTCTTAACCATAACATCAACATTAAACCTAATATCACAAATAATAAAATTACTAGAAATTATAAATATTTTAAATAAAAATAAAATAATAACGTTTATACTTAATCATCATAGCAGTTTCATCTTTTAAACTAAACAAAAAAAATTGTTGTAAGTTTTATATTTTATATTTAACACACTATTTCTTGTTTTTAATGTTTTTTTATGCGCAAGATTATCATAGAAAAATTTTTGCTGACTCACAGAGACAATGGATATGAGCTTGGATTCCATTGTATTTTCCAGACATATTGTCATAACTCCATTGTTATAACCTTGGCCGCGGCAATCAAAAATCATTATACAATCCATCTCTAATTTTTCAGTGATCTCTGTTGCAAGACTTTCTTTGTTTTTTTGGTGAGATTCGATGAAGTCCACAAAGCTTTCCAGAATTGTACAGGTTCTATCTTTGACGTGGAAATACCTGATTACTCGGGTCATCAGCTTCTTGCGGGAGGCATCTGTAGTTCAGTTAAAAAAAAACAGAGCAGTATTAAGCTTCTTTGATGTTTGATAATATTTCTGACTTTCTTCCTAAGTAACTCAATCAGCTCATTTTAAATTAAAGGAGAAAAGTAGGACGTTGTATTTTTTTTTTGAGTGTAAACGCATTTGGTTTGAATTTCTGTAGATCTTTCCATTTAGAAAGAGTCAAATCAATCGGTTTTGTATACAATTTTTTATAAGAATTTATGTTTATTTAAGTTTTAATTGTAAAAGTTCCTTTGAAGCACAGTATTACAAGTATAACAAGTTTCCATCAAAGTAGGCTGATAAACTCAACAACATAAAAATCTTATTTTTGTGAAATTAAAATTTCGGTGCGGATGTAGTAGCAAGAAACTTAACTTTTTTTAAGGTTAATAATGTGATAATGGTACAATAATAACAAATGTGTCGTAATGATGCGATAATGATTTTTTATTTCAAAGTAAAGTGTATTTTGGAGCTAAAGATTAAGAAGTTATTTTTGATCTTAGTGTGAATCTTCGTTGATCTTTGATATTCTTAAGCTTTCATAAATAAATTGTGTTATATTTTTAATACAAATAATAGTAAAATAAATGTTTTCTATTTATATTATTTTTATTATTTTTAAACCATTTTTTTAGTTACAGTTGACTTTTGGTATCTCGAACTCGAAGTTTTAAACCATTTTTTTATTACAGTTAACTTTTGGTATCTCGAACTTTCAGGGGACCAAAAAAATAGTTTAAGATATCGAGAGGATTTTGGCTCAAACAAATGCGCAAGAGACCAGAAATAAAGTTTGAGATACAGAAAATTCGATATATCGGGAGTCAACTGTAAATCAATAAACTCCTTTATTAAAAATTTAGTTTTGTTATGCTATTTTTTTGCAAAACTTTAAGTTTGTTATGGTTGCTAATTAAAGTTATATCTTTGTTTTTATATATTTTTGATAACAGTGTTTTATTATTTTGAGATAAATTTTCTACAACCTTCCATGAAATCGACTTTGATTTGTTAAGAAAACGAGGTATCGTAAAAGCTGATATTTAAATTTTTTTATTTAGATACGCTGAATGAAAATGGCTTATTGAATGATCATAAAGAAAGCATCGAAGACATCACTCAAGTGGAAAATTCAGTTAAAACTGTCAATCAAAAAATGAAGCATAATGGTACAAATAAAATGGACAAAAGTCTTAAAATTTCTTATGCTCATAAACTAAACATTTTTCCTAAATCTTACAAAGAGAGCAGCGCGAATCGAGCCAAAGATAAAATAGGTAGCATAAACCGAAATGTAGAATTTTTAATAATATTGCAGTTTTAATAATATTACAGTTTTTAGAACCATAAATGATTAAGCTAGGAATTTTTTTTGGTTTGAAAGATTTATAAAAATCTTCTGTAATAAATTGTGGATGGAAAAAAATGATTTCATTGAGTACGTTAATAAATATAGTAGATTTAGATTATTGCGATAACGATTGGCTGAAAAAAGTTTAGTTTTATCAAAATTAAAATTCACTAGCCACTGAGAACCCTATGCTGTAGCAGATTTGAGATATTTTTTAAGCTCAAATTCCCCCTCAAAGCAATGTTGGCTTCTTATCATGACAAGAGTAAATGGTAGTATCATCAACGAACAATGCGACTTTAAATGCGAAAATTTCTAGGAGATCGTTAATGTAAATTAAAAATCAATCAGTATAGAATCTTAAGGAACCCCTAAAGTTACAGAAAATAAAGAAGAGTGCTGTCCATCGAGGACAACTTTTATACTATGTTTGGTAAGGAAGGATTCAATTATCTTAAAAATGTTACCGATACACTGTAAGAAGAGAGTTTATGGAGAAGACCAGCATGTCAAACTTTATCAAAGGCTGTAGAAATGTTGAGAACCAGCAGAAGAAAGACCAATATCTATATTGATGATCAGAGAGTAAGTTATTAAATTCAAGATGAGAATTTAAATGTTTTTTAATTAAAATTCAAAGCCTTGCTTAGGATAGGAAGAAGACCAGTAGTACCGTTGTTAGACGAGTCAGATTGTTTTCCAGAATTTTTGAAAATAGGGATTATTGATGACACTTTTCAGCAGGTCAGAAAACAAGACTCTAATTAACACTTGTGGAATATTTTTAAATAGTTAAAAATTATAGACGATAGCTCCGGAGAACACTTCTGCGAGACTAAAACAGTTAAGTTGTTTGGACCACAAATTGCAGAAGAATCTAAGCAGGAAATTACTTTAGATACAGAAGCTGGAGTGATACGAATGTCAAGCATTGGATCAACCTGTTTTTCAGCTATATCAAGTAGGATGTAATTAATGGAATCGAGAGATGAGATAGATGAGAAGTTCTTAGCAAACAATTCAGATTTGTCCTTAGGCGAGGTAAAAAAATCTGAACCATGCAAGAGAGGTGGAATAACAAAATGTCCCTTATTATAGACACTGTCAAAGATTCTCCAGAAGTCTCGGGAGCCTAGTTTTTGAGACCTGATAATATGTCTAGCTTTGGCGAAAGACAAAACCTTTTAGCAATGGTTTTTATCAATAGTAAATAGAGAACTGTTTTCGTGATAAATATGAAAGTAATGGTTACGATTGAAAATTGCAGCATCACAATGAAAACCATGAGGAAGAGTGAGGCTTGAATTGGAACTGTTGAGAGTGAATTTTATGCGAGTCTGAATCCAAAAAGTTACCAAAAAAGTATATTTGTCAGAAAGAAGACGAAAAATTTCTACTCTAGAGCCATCAAAAAGAAAATCACGGAAAGAGTCCCATGTCAGCTTTAAGGTAAATGCAAGAGGTACGATGATAGGGGGATTCTGATAATGAAGAAGAATGAGATAATAATTTTAGAAAAATCAAACCGTGATAAGAAGCATCAAAAAGTGAATGTGAAAAAACTGAGCACTGACTAGAATCAGAAGCAAGACATAAATTAAGTAAAGAAGGTAAATGATTTGGATTGCCTGGAAGGCGATTTGACTATTTGTGTTAGAGATTGAGAAAAGCAAAGGTAGTGAGCTCTAATGTCTGCAGCGTCACTGATACTTGAGCCAAGTCATTCAGTGTGATGAGAATTAAAAGCACATTAAAAAATAATTTTTGGATTCAAACTTAGTTTACCGACAAATGGGTAAATTCTTACTAATGTAAATGCCTAGGCCAAGGATGTAACTATTGGGAACTTTACGAAATAAAGAAAGATAACCATCAACTCTAAGATCACGCTGTATTTTATAATTTTCAGAACATTAGGCATTTTTGGATTTTTTAAAAAACTTGACCAGATAGTACTCAGTACACAATTTAATAAACCATGCAATTGCCTCATTACTATTAATAAAACCTCAGCCGTAACAAAGTGGCCTCGGAAATGCACACCAAAATTACGAAAAAGGCTTATCTGCTTTTTTATTGAAAAAAGTCACATTTAAATTAGGCTATGTATATTTATAAACACCATTCTCTATAAGATAATTTTCAATCTGAAACAGTTTTTGCGGAGGTGCATAATAGACTACAATGGATATTAATATATAGCAATAGAACTAAATGCAAAGAGATAACATAATTGAGGCATAAGGCTCGATCATGCGCAACAAGTATTCTGATAGCTTTTCATCACAAACTTTACTTGATATGCTTGATTTTCCTCAAAACATATTTATTTTAAGTCATATCTCAAGCAGAAACGAAACATATATATCTTTAAAATATAAACATTAAAATACTTTATTGTTATTTGACAACAAAATCTTTAAAAACATAATGATTAAAAACTTTGATACAAAAGAAATTTTAAATTTAAGAGAATGCTTATAATAATCTTTTTTTTTTTTAGATATTAAAAAAGAAAGTTTAAAAAAGAAGCATAAAATTATAAAAAATAAAAAAGTATTAATAAAGTTAGGCAAAATAACCAGTACATATCAAAACACTACAGCAGATAGTTTCTTTTCAACTGGTAAGTAACATATTTTTAAATATCTATCTATGTTTTATGTTTTAACATTAATGCTGTAAATTGCTATTTCTACCTGAGAAATATTTTCACATTTTAGCCATAAATCTAAATCCAAGGTCTCAATTTCATGGCATTTCAACGTACAATCATCTAATACCTCGTTTCCTTAACAAATCAAAGTCGATTTCATGGAAGGTTGTAGAAAATTTATCTCAAAATAATAAAACACTGTTATCAAAAATATATAAAAACAAAAATATAACTTTAATTAGCAACCATAACAAACTTAAAGTTTTGCAAAAAAATAGCATAACAAAACTAAAAAAGCGAAAAAAATCTTTTAAAAAGAGAAGAAGCAAAAAAACAAATCAAAATGAAGTCTCAAAACGTGACCAATCTTTATACCCACAACCAAAAGTTGAAGTATTTCCTGTATCTAGTTCAAGCGACACAATGCTTCGATTAGCTGAAGATCCAGTTAATCCGAGCAAATTAATAGCTATAAAACCGGTTCAGCCAGATGTGAACTTTAACATGTATCCAATTGTAGATACAGCAGACTCTATTGTAAGAATTAAACCTAAAAACGATGATGTTTTAAGTAGCCCTATGGATGACATAAAAGAAAAATTTTCCAACGATGCCATCTCTAGTAAACGTGATGAATCAATATCAAGAGAAAAAAATAACCACAGCCCTTTTTCAAAACTTTATGCATCTGACGTTGATCTAATTGAATCACGTGATATAAAAAAAGGTATTCATTATTTTCCTAAACATATTTTTGACTCTAAAGGGCAAGATGAAGTTGGTTACACAAAGGAACAAGATGAAGTTGGCAACTCAGAAGGAAGAGATGAAGTTGGTTACACAAAACGTGGAAAAAATGCTGCTGAAGACAATCACCACAAAAAAAACGATGATGAGAAAAAAGATGAAGAGGATGATTATAAATTTAACGAAAATCCTAAAGAATATGCTCACAAGACAGATACCAATAAAAATAACGAAAACCATCATGACAACAGAGATAGCAAATTAAAGGCTGATGATCAAGATGATGAAGTCAATCATGACAAACCGCCTTATAAAGTTCAACCGTATGTTACAAATGAAGAATTTAAACCCCGATTTGATGATATTAGTTCTGAAGATAGAGATGAAACTCCTAATCGATTAAATCCATCGGAAAATAATTTCCATCATGAAATAAACAGAATGAAAAATGAAAATAATTCGCCTCATATCAATAACGATGATAACTTTGATTTCGAAAATCGAGAAAAACTGCCTAGTCCATTTGAAGAAAGAAGAATGAACAACAATGAACATTCCTCTACTTTTCACGAACAAAAAATTCCGGAACCATACAGACATATTGAACTGCGTACAACAAATGATGGCAAAAATGAGTACGCTTCGAAGAATTTTGACGAGCCAAATAAAGACTATACAGAGTTTCCAGAAGCAAAAGATCCACAAAATTTTGATTACCATTCAAAAGACCCGCGTGAATTTGACAATCATTACAACGACAAACATTCTCCGGAAGAAAATGAGAGGTTTGCAGGAGAACGAGTAGGAGATGTTGTTGTTGAAAGCAATCCTAGTCCTCAATTTGAACCAGCACCGTATTCAAATTTTCCTGAAAAAATTGATAACCTAAACAATGATAATATTTTTAAAGGAAGAGAAAATGAAAATATTTACGGTAGAGGCGGTTATGGAAGACGAGATAATAATAATAATTACAAAGAAAATGACGACAAAAAGGATGATGATGATAATAATAACGATGATGATGACGATGATGATGATGATGACAACGATGATAACGATGACGACGACGACGATGATGATGATGATAATGATAAAAAAGATGAAAAGAAAAACAAAAAGTTAATAAGCAAAGAAGATTCTGATCCGGCTGAAGACGAAGATGTTAATTGGGATGATATAGCGTGGCTAGGTGAGTATGGTCATGCAAAGTACAGTGAAAGTGGAAAGTTTTCCAAGCCTCGAATGTATACATGTATGCTTGAAAAAATGAAAAGTATGCAGAGCAATCCAATGTGTGCTACATCAAAACGTCATGGTTTGGAAAAGCGAAGAAAAAGTCTGAACGGTCGCTCGACCCATCGTAGGAGGCACCATAAAAAAAAAAATCATCACTGTAAGTATAAAGTTAAAAATATTTGAGTATATATATATTTTTTTTTTGAGTACTGGTATATTATTGGTATTGGTAAAACTTTTTTAAGACAAAAAGATTATAACCTTGGAAATATTTTTTAAAAACGTTTTAAATTTTAATTTTAGTCAGAAAAAAAAACTCAAGCGAATACATTACTCAAGCTGAGCAAATATATGATAAAAACATACAAAATGAGAAATATGAAGAAAAAGAAAACAGTTCACAGTTTGTTATGCAGCCTATTTTTGCATTGCAGGCTCCCTTTGTAATGCAACCACTTTTGAAAAAACACAACAAAAATTTATTAAACAACCAACAACAGACCGGTGTGGAAACAACAAAGCGTCAATTAATAAATTTTGGAAATTTTAAAAATAAGATTTGGTTTAAAAACAATCCCAAATCCATTATTGAGAGAGTAGAAGATTCTCACGATAATCTCAATTTTGTTCACCGAGTTTATCATGGTGAAGATCACGGTAGTTTTTAAAAATACTTTTATAATGAAATGCATGATTATATAAAAGGTCTAAAAAAAAGTCTGTGTAGGAAATAAGTGTCTAAGAAATAAGTTAGGAATTGCAAGAATCCTTTATATATTGCAATAATCTTTTATATTACTCGTGATGATAATAGGAAGTTATACATTGTTTATATATTTGGAATAAATATTAAAAATTTCTCAAACCAGAAAAAGTTGTGTATATTGTTCATTGTTTTTATATAAAAAAATTTTTACATCAAAACATTTTTATTGCCGAACTTTTTGAAATTTTTTTCTGTTTACTAAAAGTATTTTTTAATTAAAATCTTTATCTAATACGGTAACCGATTTAAAAAAAAAAGCTAAACAAGTTTAGAATATGATTGAATTCTCACAGTTTATTATGTACAATGTACATATATATTCTGAGTTTATGTATTGTAGATATGTGACATAAAATTTTTTAAACTCATTATGTACAAAATTGTTCTCCTGACTTAAAATGCCATAAACCTATTTTTATCAAAATTGATCCAACTTTTACTTGGCATCAAAAAAACGAAGAGTAAGTATGTTTAAAGAGCACATTATGAGCGTTAGAGGGGCGTCTACAAAACCTTCTATTATGTTTAAAATGCAAATTTTTTTTGGAAAATATTAAAGTTTATTGAAGTTTTTGATTTTTATTTGCATTTCTTCAATACCAGGCAACCATTAAATATTATTATGATACCTTGGATTGGGTGAGTAGATATAATAAAAACTCATATAAAAACAAATGAAAATTAAATTTTTAAAAATTTAAAGTTCTTAACTTTATTTGTGTATCCACAAAAAAAATTACGTATTTTTACATTTTTTGTCGTGAAGACTTTTACAAACATCATTTAAAATTGACTATTCTTCGGACCAGACGGACACAGAACCAGAAATAAAAATTAACAATTTTAACATCCACTTCTAAAATTAATATCCATTTCTAATATTAAGCTAGTGACACACTTTCAGCATTTAGCATAGCTTATGGAAAATTTGTTATCATATTTTGGTGTAATTTTTTTTTACTTAAGTTTCGAAGGTTTTAGGGCACAGTCCATACTTTTTTTTATACGTGAACTATAAAATAAGTTTGATGTTTAAAAATATTTAAGGCACCAAGTTTATATAGAAGAAATTCACAAAGAACAGCTCTTCCAGCTTCAAATACAGTTTTAACACCATGTTTTTGTTTGCTTTACGGTTTTCAAAGCTTAATGTGATTAGTATTTTCCCATAAGAGGATGTCGTAAGTTAAGTAACCGTGCATAAAAGAAAGATATAAGTTTTATAAGGACAAAAAATTCAAGAGTGGCTCTATAGATCATGCTAATTTTTTTTGAGATTAATATTTTTATAGAGTTTATATGTAGTTTCCATGACAAATTTTTATAAAAGTTCACTCTTTTAAAATAAACGGATGTTTGCTTTTCGATGTTGGTTTTATCATTTAGGAGATTTTGTTGAAGGTAACTCTTCTGTAGAAGGTAATTCTTATGTAGAAGGTAGCTCTTCTATAAAAGGTAACTCTTCTATAGAAGGTAACTCTTCTGTAGAAAGTAACTCTTTTGTAGAAGGTAACTCTTTTGTTTTGTTTTGTTTGTGGAAAAGGGAAAATTTTGTTTTTTAACATTCATTCAACAGTTACTTGTATATGAACTTTTCATTTACTTTATTTGATTCATTATTTACTTTTAAAACTTTATGAGAATAAAGGTTAGAGTCATCTGCAAATAAAAGATAAATCATTTGTGTATAGTAAGAAAATCAAAGATCCTAGCATAGAACCCTATGGAACTCCACAAGTTATAGTATTTTTGGTTGTTTCTTTATTTTCAGAGTGTGCGTATCGCTTTCAGTTCAACATTTTTTAAACTAGTGTAAGTTTGTATCTTTTAATTAGTTTTTGTTCTAGTTTTTCAGTTACATTTCACAATATGGAAAACTTATTTTTTTAAACTTTAAAAATAATTTTTAAATATTTATTGCATATATGAATCACAAATATGACATACGCACAATATCCATTATTAAAAAAGTTATTTTTATTCCGGATTTGGTCTAGTGTGATCAGGTGTAATCTGGTGAGGTCCGGTGTGGTCTGGTGTAGTATTTGTATACACCGCAAACTTAAAATATAAGAAGCAAACTTATGACTATATAATAAAACTAATACACAAAAAAACTATAAACAAAAAAATATTTAAAGAAAACTATATACACGCACAAACACACTACACACACACAAACACACACACGCACAAACACACACACATACACACACACACACACACATACATACAGATACACACACATAAATACATAAGTACATAAATACCCCCATCTTTACACACGCACGCGCGCAAACATACACACACAGATACACACACTACACATACACACGCACGCACGTACGCACTACACAAGACAATATTGAAAAAGCATTCTGTGTAAATAATTTCTAATAAATGGGAGACTTACAAGGCATGCTATAGCTGTCGGGATCAAGAGCATAGTTATTTTGTAAGTATTGCAAAAGTACTATTGAAGGTAAGTGAAATAATTGCTTTTTGCTTAGATGGGCTTTATTTTATAGAGTTTAAATGATTATAGGTATGTATAATATGCATAATACATAAAGTTTCAATTATTATACTCCCTGTATTAAGTGAGGCGTTTTCTTCAAATTTATATCATTTTCTATATGCTACAGTTTGATAACGGGGAGGAAAGAAAGCCATGAAGTTTGTTTTTCCTCAAATTCAACGACAACCAACAGATACGACAACAACCAACAGATTCAACAACAACCAACAACTCAAGCAACTGCTACGTATGCATTTTTGATCCAAAAAGCGTCGCATAGGTGCGACTTTAAGGTGCACTTCAAAGTTGTTTATCCAGGCATTTCTTGGTCAATTTTCCTATTTTGCATTATTTCTACTTCCTTCAATATCAGTCATTTTCAAGAGAATGCAGCAAGCTGATGGCGAGAATGATATTGGAGCGGTTGAGTAGAGAAGACAGTACTTACCTCACAAGAAAGACGTTAACAATTTAATCAGAAATCTGTGTATTACTAAGTATGCTTTGTTATTGCCAAGTATGCTTTAGTTATTACCAAGTAGGCTTAAGGTGTATAAAAAAGCCAAATGCTGATCTTCTGCTAGCTAGGCTCAAATATTGGAATTTGTTAGATATAAAAAAGTACAAGCCATTAGTCATAGAAAGAGTCAACAAGCGTTTGTGTGTTTTTTCAATTTCTTTAGTGAGAAATATGGACTGGTTAAATATGGTGAGGCTATTACATTGTTTTGTTTTTTTGAGGCTATTACTATTCATTGTAACCTGAGTGAATAGCGTCTTTGTATAGGCAGTTAATAACTAAGCATCCATTCTGATGGCTTACTCTCTGGTAATATACATTGGGCCAACACCAAGTTCTTTACTTGATATTCAATGTGAGTAATAAAACTATTTGCATATATGTTGCTACAGCTTGTGAAACAATGGAATTTGAGAAAACTGGGACCAAATTGAATGAAAAAACAAGTTACAGCGCTTAACAGTTTTACAAATTTTTTCAGTTTTCCCGCTATAATTTAGTTTTGTTCTTTGACAAGGTTTTAACATATGATAAAAAATGTATTATTTGCTGTAATAATAGACGCTTATATTATTAGCTATTCTATAATGATCCGTTCCCGTTGACTGCTAAACCAAGCATTGATCAACAAAAGATTTTGTTGTGTATGTGTTGCATTACAGCAGGTAATGTTCACTTGAACTTTAAAAAATGTAGACAAAACATTACTGCTGAAATCTACAAAGCACAGTTAAACAAAGTTTTTGTTGCTCAAAAACTTTGTTTAAGTCAAAAACAATCTGCTTTGGCAAAAAGAAAAGGTGTTGTCTTCCATCAGGACAACGCAAAACTACACACAGCAAGAATTACCAAGGAATCTCTCGCGCAACTGCAATGGGAAGTTCTATCTCATTCTCCGTACTTACCAGATCTTGTCCCAATTTACTAACTTTTGATTTTGGACGTGGACAACCAAATGCGAAATCGGTGATTTTAAAATAGAGAGGTTTTGGAAAACGAGGTTACCCTCCTTCAATTTTCAAAAGTATATTTTCTACAAAAAACAGAACATATGATTTTGTGTCTAAATGGAAAAGGTAATATTTGCTGAAGGTGATAATTTTCTAAATTAAACCTAATTTTTGTGTTACTATTTCTTAAACTTCAAAACTGCATGAGCTTTTTTGGTTGCCTGGTAGTTATTTCAAGACAATCAATTATGTTGATTAAGTTTCTTTTTTTACAATTTTGTATTTTCAAAACAAAAGCTTGATAATTAATTTAAACGTATTTGCAAAATACAGACAAAAAAAAACTTAAATTGATAATATTGTCACTAATTTTATTTTAATAACTTGTTGGATTGCCCTTAAAGGTTGCGCATTACAATGAATAAAATGCATAACTTTTTTCAAGTTTATGAGTAATTTTTTTTGTTTCAAAACAATTTTTTTTCTACTACATAGATAAATTTGTCTGCATTATCTTTCTGAATATGTTATAAAGATTTGTAGTGAAATTTTAGAAACTCATAAAAAAGTGGTTTTATAAAAATAAGCTTTATAATGCATGGATTATACAAATACGTATGTGTGTGCTTGTGTGTGTGTGTGTGTGTGTGTGTGTGTGTAAATTTTTGTATAAAAAATGCAATATACTTTGAAGGTGATTCTAAAACATATTTATAAAAGAACGATCCTTTAGTAGAATTTTTTTTCAAACATCAGATTTTATTAAATTGTTTGTTCAATTAACTAAACTATGTTGAGGTTTTTTTATTTTCATTTTTTTATTTATTTTATAGTTTAACTTCTATGATGGGTATTACATTTAAATCGATGATTTTTATTGAAAAGCGTACGTACATAGTGTACGTTCCAATTTAGCTTATCATATTGGAATGCAAAGTTGTCATGTCGTATGCAAAGTCGTCGGGTGTAAATTAAGTTATAAACATAAAAAAAAATATCAACAGAAAAAATGTTGGCAAAATTTTTCCAACAACAAGTAATGTTCACTTGAGCTTCAGAAAATGTAGAAAACTGCTGAAATCTATTCAGCACAGTTATACAAAGTTTAGTATACAAGGTATTTATTTTTTGGAAGGATGTTTACAAACGAAAAATATTCAATTGAAAAATATTTTGCACAAAGAATAATGTTCCAAAAATTGCGTTTCAGAAAAATAAACGGGTTACAAGTCAAGTTAACCGTAAATTATTGGGACTATATGCATAATGGAAAAATATTTCAGGTTGGACCGTCAACATATTCTAGATATAATGCGTTAAAGCGAATTCGATTTTTATTTTTGGGCCAAACATTGCAATTTTGGATTTTTTAGTTTGGAAATAAAATTTTAAGATGTTTAGGTGGAATATTTTTTCAAAATTTTTTTTGATCACTAACTGAAAGTTTTTCCTGAAATATGTAGTGATATACTAAAAATAAGCATTCTGCATGGCTTACACAAAAATAAACACACACACATGCACAAACACACAATAGGGTTAGTCAATACGCAGGGTTAGCCTACACGCAGGGTACACGCGTACCGTAAACAATAAGATGATCAGTTTACTTTATGTTGAATAATAAAAAAATTTTTTAGGGGATTTTGGCTTGACACATTCATCAAACAATTATAAAAATATGAAACCGATGATGAAATGGTCTAAGTTCCCGCCTTTTAGCAAGATGAAAATTTCTGTCCATTTTAGGCATAAGTTTCGCAAACATGCCAATCACAAAAAATACAAGAATCAAATGAAAAATAGATTGAATAAAATTAACTCGTTTAAAAGTTTAAATATGAAATACCCACCAGCTTTTGCTAAAAATACTCCAAAAGATTCTGAAAGTTACCAAGGAGCTTTTCCTAAAGATGCTCCAAACGATTCTTATGAAACGTTAACAAAAAGCTCTAATGAACGTTCAACAAACAGTTATCCAGGAGCATTTCCAAAGGTTATTTCCAAAGAATTTTCTGAAAATATTCCAAAAGATAATCATGGAACGTTTCCAGCAGATACTTCTAATGATTGTCAAGAAAAAAACGATGAAGATTCTTTAGAACATTTGAGTAACAAAGTACCTAAGAGCTTTCCAGAAAATTATGAGCAAGATTCTCCGCAGCATTTTCCAAAAGATTATCCTTTAATTTTAACTAAAAATGGTTGCAAAGAATCTCACAAAGATTTTTCAAAAGATTCTTCAGAACATATTAATAAAGATGTACTTAAAGAATCTGCAGAACGTTTTTCTGAAGACATCCCCAACAGCTTACCAAATGATCAAAGTTTATCAGTTAGTTACAATAAACACAACTCCAAAGACTCTCAAAGACAAGATTTTTCAAAAGGTTCTTCGGAACATATCAATAAAGATGTACTTAAAGAATCTGCAGAACGTTTTTCTGAAGACATCCCTAACAGTTTACCTAATGATCATAGTTTACCAATTAATTACAATAAACATAACTCCAAAGACTCTCAAAGACAATTTACAGAAGATAATCCTGACTATTTTTCAAAAGATTTTTCACAGGAATTTTCGCAACAGTTTCAGCATAGTTATCCCTCAAACTCTGATAAAAATAACATGGAAAAATTTTCAAAAGAATATTCTAAACCTTTTATTAAAGACATGGACAGAGATTTGTTGGATGGTTTAAATAAAGAAACAGATCCTTACCAAAAATGCAAAGAATTGAAAAACCAAAGAACACAACGTAAAGCTTTGACAAGTTCAAGACGGATAACATTCAATCCCATGAACAGCACTGATATGGCAGATAAAATAAAGATTGACATTAATGAAAAACCAAATGTCGAACCTGTGGAAATAAACGGGAACATTGTATTAGCTATCCCACATATTGTTCAACAGGTGGAAAACTGGAAAATTTCTGATATGAATAAAGTATCTTTGCTTCCAGAAGAAGAGATTTGCTAACTGTTGGTTAAATATTGTTTATAGTTGTAAAATATTACATCGACAAAATATTTTTTTAAATTGCAAAATAGAAGTACTTATTTAAAATTGTAAAATAAAAGTCATTATTTTAAATTCCGAAATAGAAGTCATTAAATTGCAATTGATTAAGAAGCTTTTTATATTAGTTTATTTTGGCAATATACAAGTATTTGTCTATATAAAATTAATATCAAGAGAGAAATTTTTTCATTTTTATAATTTACCCTTATGTGTTTATGAGAGATCATTTTAATTTTAATATAATGTAAAAATTGTAACATTCAGAGCTTTTTGGCAAAAAAAATATTTTATGCAGTTATTACATTTTTTGACTTCTAAAATCATTTTCGATTTCCATATTTTTTTAAAGCGGTTTTTACGCTTAAGTTTGATATTATATTATTATGAATTTTAAGAAGAAAATTACACTTTGATTGTAAAATTAAACGAACATGTTGTTAATTTTTTTTAATGTTGTTTAACATATTGAAATAACAATTGATTTTGTTTTTTTTCTTAACTAAAAAAAAATGTTTTCTAAAGCTTTGTAGTTTTAATTTAAATTCTTAATTTAAATATATCTATTTCGAATTCCATTAATTTGGAATTCGAAATAAATATATATACTTGTTTAATAATATGTTAATTTTAACATATTCATTTTTGTTTTTATTATAAAAAAAATGAACTAATTTAAACAGTTATTAAAGATGTTAAACGAATGTGGTCAAGAACCACATTTTAGTCTTCTAGAAAATTAAAACCTGATGTAGCTTGTGTAGCATTTCAAATTATTTTCACGTAATATTTCAAATAAAATACATGTAGTATTTAAACTAAAATTACTTATCAGGGCCGACGACACGGGTTTCGAAGTAGGGGGGGGGGGGGCACAATCGTTAATTTCTAAAAAAAGTTCTTTATATCTAGGATTTCCTAGGTAGAAAAAAAAAAGGTCTTTTAGAAAAAAAGTGGGGGGGGACATACCCCTACCCCCTACCCCCTCCCTCCCTGTTGGCCCTGCTTGTATAATTTCAAGTAACGTACATGTAGTTTTTAAAATAACTCAAATGTAGTATTGCAAATGATTTAGATTCAAACAACTTCCGAGATAACACATTGGTCCAACGTAAGTAAAACCATCGCAAACGTTGGCTGTTTTTTTTTTTTTTATGCAAACCCAACATTGATTTAACACCATGTGTTTAGCAATGATATCAATAGAAAGATTAATACCGACGCAATTCAAAACAGTTTGCTTAGTTATATTGGCCCAACGTATGTAAAAACATAGCAAAGGTTGATTGTTTTTACGATCTAATCCCAAGGCTAATCCAATGTATATAACCCAACTTTGATTCAATGTAATGGATCAATGTTGATCTAATGTATGCATCCCAGCAAAGTTACATTTTTTTAATTAATTAAATTTTGTATACAATTATTAATTACAAAACTAACTTAATTAAAAAAAACCTTCAGTGATTATTAAAATATTGATCCACAAGCAAAACAAACATGAATAACAAAAAAACATAAATTATCAATATATAATAAGTAAAATGGCAGGATTTGATCCCTCGGAGTAGTTGGTCTCATTGGTTGTTGTGGCTAAAAATTGTTCTCCGAGTTGAACCATTTGTCTTAGTCAGGCAGGAGGAAAACCTTTACGGCTGAAAAGAGGTTAAGTTGAAAAGAGGTTTAGTTTGAAATTTGTTTGTTTTAAATGTGTAACTTGATGTTTTATAACAAAGATTTTTTAATAATGATGTTCAGCTGCACAAAAACTTTTCAAAGAACCTATGACAACTCACAACCTGAGTTTTCAAAAACTAGATCACTTCTGAAATTAAGTTTTACGTTCATCATAAATGAAGTAAGTTTTCAGAGCCCAGTTCAGAAAACTGTCTCCATCAACATCAAAAACTACCAATAACAAAAGCTCTTAATAATTTTTAAGGCTCTCCAGAAATATATAGTAATATCAAATGTGTTTTAGATATCAACAAAGTTTAAGAAAAGTATACCAATGATTGTTTGGTTGTTTCTTGAGATATGGCTTATATAATTTGTGGCATACAATATCATAGCAGTAAACATTCTTGCCGTATGTGTGACGTTGAATCAAAAAATCTATTTAATTGTGAAAGTTTAAGAACCTTAGGTGAAATAAAAGACAAGTATACAAATTTTTCAAACCGAATGAAGATTTGAAAAAATCAAAAGTCTTCCAAAATGTTGTGCATTTATTATTGCTAAAATTTTATGACCGAAAGCTTGTATTAGAAGCTTATATTAAAACCTTTTACTAATGCAACTACATTTATATATGAACCATATAGTGAAAAAATTGTTTAGTTCTTTATTTTCATGATCAAAAGCTTTTGACTAGCCATTAAAGCCAACAATGTTAATCAACAGTGTCAAAAGCTTCTCACAAATTTTTTTTATAGTTACTTATAAAAAATAGAAAACAATTTGTTCATCCAACGATGGCTTTCAAAGTGTTTCAAATGTTAAAATAGCCTTTGGTGTTCCTCAAGACTATATTCTAGGTCCTTTTTTTTCAATTTATATTAATGATTTAAGTAAATCAGCTATTCTTCAAAGGATTATGTTTGCTGGTGATTCGAATTTATTCTTCTCAAACAATATTATTGATGAGCTGTTTTCTGATATGAATAAAGAAATTGAATACATCTTAGTTGTTTAAATATAACAAATTGACCTTAAACTTTGATAAAACACCCTATATCAAAAAAACGTTTATTATCAACAACCCTGCCAAAAATTCTTATTGATGAATTTGAAATACAAAAGTTTTCTTGGAATTTATCTTGATAATAATGTTGCATGGAAACCGCACATATTAGCACTAAAATCTCTATAAAAACCAAAAAACTGTTTGAGGTATTTTAATCCAACTCTATTACTTATTTATTCAATATTTATTTATACTATGCAAATATTGCTTGAGGAAGTACAAGCAAAAGTAAGTTGCGTACTCATCGCCAGAAACTCGCAAAGCGCTAAGTTTGTTAAAAAAGTTGTCTTTCGCATAGAAAGTTTTTTATTTTAAAAAATTAAAGTAGTTAACATTTCTGAAGTAAATTTATATAAAATATGTTTTATGTTTCGATGTAAAATCAATCCTTCATTACACATTTTTAAAAAACTTATCAGACCGGAGCACATTGGTCAAAACAGCAATTTTTCAGTATTTACGTCTTTTTTGCTTATCAATAACAAAATTTGAGATTTAAAAGAAGAAAAAGAGTATTAAATTATTAAAACTAGATAAATTTATAACAGCCGTAGAGAATTTAAACAAATTTATGGTGTTGATGTTTTTGAAAGATATTTTTTAAGTTTAAAATTACTCGAAATACTCGAAAATACACGAAAAAAGCAATAGAAGTTAATTAACACTCGATATTCGAAATGCTCGAGATACTGGAGAAGTTAAGGGGTGTACTACCCCATTTTTAAATATAGACATTAAATAACAACATTTGACATAAAATGATTAACCATATCATAAATGTAGAAAATTAAAAAAAAAAAAAAAATCGGTCAACGGTTTTTGCCGTAACCGTAAAAAACCCCCAAAATAAGCAGAAAATAAGATTTGCACTGGCCAAGTTTTACCAAAAACTAATTAAAAAAGGCTGAACAAAACTTTGGAAACACAGTTAGAATAGTTTTATGAGTGTTTTAAACAAAACAGATTTTTTTAAAAAACTTCTGGGCCTAAAGACTTGTGATCTAAAGTTAACAATAGAAAAAAGTGCATTTTTCGAAAAATTAAATTAGCTATACTGTTTTATTCATAAGTATTTCAAAATTCTGTTCCGTTTAAAACACAGCTTTTTTAAAAAGGAAAATTTGTTGAAAATTTCAGATAAAACGCTCAAGCGGTTCTCTTGGAATTTTGGCCGGCATATTGAAAAACCTCAAACTGAGAAAACGCATACAAATTGAAAATAAACGATAAAAGATCTACAAATATACGTAACATTATATATTGGACTATATTTAATATTCAAAACCTCCTCCTTCATATGTTTTACTTTCTTTTTCAGAGGTTTTGTCACTTTTCTTCAGTTTTTTAGCCCTTAACTTTTGACGATGTAACTTGTTATGGGAGTTTAGTTTATAGATCGACGATTTAATGCATGTTTTATTTATGTTGATAGAACTGTTTAGTGTATAAAAACCTAGAACCATGTTCAGTTTTTTCATATATTAGAATTGAAGACTTCATCCCAATGTTAAAATTGGCAACAGCATCATAAACACCAATCTTCAGCAAAGTCAGCGAGACATATTTCGTTTTCGGAATGCGATCCCTAATTTTCCCATGGAAAAACTCATTTGCATTTTGCGTTTTACCATGCTTTACTCTTCAAACACAGGTCTGATCTTGTATACAACCTCTAGAGGTAGACCTCTAAAGGTTTGTAGGTGTTAGTGCTATTTGCTTTGTCTCTGTTAAATTTACACCAACTGCTTACACCTGTTGGACAATGTGGATAGTGCCAATTAGTTGCTTTTGATGATGCAACGTGAAAAAGAGTAGCAAGCGCTGCTGATTTCATGGCAATTAAATTACCAGTATTCTGTCTAATTGCCACACCAAAGAAATTTTGAAGTCGATCAGTTGTTGCATCTGTTAATCTACCACGACCGCCCAGTCCCCTAACTTTTTTTTTCAAATTCCGGAGTCTGGTTCCATCACGCTTCTGATAGTGTCCAACACATTTTAATTTATTTACTTTAATATTAGGATAAACATCCTTGACACTATTGTAACTTTTGCTATCTCCATCACCTAAAAAGTTAATGTACTGCAACTTTTGCTTTTTAATCGATCGCTGGAAAATACGACTGGCACCTTCGCACTCCATTCCACCTGCAGAACCTACATAATTCATTTAACAAATGTGGGAGTTTCTCCACTTGGCGTATGCATTAGGATTTTTTTCAGAAAGTTTTTGATTTAAGGAGCGCCCTCTGCACACTCGACTCATCACCTCAACATCTAAAACTTTCCCACTGTCCCTTGAAAGTGCTGCAAATACACCATTCAATGATGAAAATCCCCTACGCTGCCACGTGCCATCACATGATACACCAACATCAAGAATCTCATTATTGTCTTGACACTGTAGTCTTAAATCAGATACAACATCATTCATTGTTTCCTGTGCAACTTCCTCTGTAATATTAGTAATTTT